CTCGGGTGGGAACCGTCTCCCACAACATCCACTATCAATCAAAGGGTTTTACACAAACGCTCTAAGTGCTCAATAAGAAGACACAACAAAGAATAAGAGAGATCAAAGAAACTCTATCCCGAAGCGACATGACTCGAACAGTGTCTCTTGCCTCTAGTTTCTTCTTAACCCTAATCTCTCTCTAGCTCTCTTCCTTTTGGTCTTGTGTTTCGGATGATTATAAAGCCTTGGCCATCTTCTCTATTTATAATCCCAGCCACCGTCTTGAGTTTTCCTTTTTCCTAGTAGCGTTAGTAATTTGATTAACCGACAGTAACGTCTTTCCTCTTTTGCGCAGGTTTCCATTATTGGGCTGTGGGCTTGGACAAGCAATTGGAATTGGGCCTATTTCCTTTCAATCTCCACCTTAGGCCCTAATACCAATTTTTCTAATTCTGGCTGCTTCTGTGTCGTTCCGTTGCATCTCCACCTTTGTTTCACTGTTTCATATGAAAGCTCCCATAGCTTGTGTTCCAAGTGAAACAACCGATTCAACTTCGAAAGACTTCATCTTGCTCCTCAGTAACACTTAACCATCATTGCGCAACCGTTGATGGTTCCTCATCGTACAAGATCCACCATCCATACTGAAGATAGCGATTCTTCATTTAATGGTGAATATTGTTTTACCTAAATCAAGCTGATCAATCTCGCCGGAGTTCTGCAGTTTCCAGTAAGCTTTCTCTGATGCTTGATTTTACTTGTAAGAGCTCTTGGTTTGCCTCTATTAGAAGTTGAAAAATCCTGACCTTCAAAATTATATGTTTGCTGATCTCTATCTCAAGCTTCCCTGACCTGAAGTTGAAGATTGACCTCTCCAGATTAAAAAGTTCATATTTCTTTGTCCTTACCATGCTTCTATTATCATCTCGGTTCAGAGACATATCCGGTGACTCTGTTTTATCCAAGCACCACCAGTAATCTTCCGTTCAACCCCTTTACTCTCTCCGATAGTGAAAGTCTTGATGCAATTCTAAAAGAATTTTAGCATCTTCTGGCATACCCTTCCAATGCCGACCCTTTGTAATCTCAGTTATGGTTCTAAGCTCCTCTTCATCTCTTTATCATGATGAATTTAGCTTGCCCCTTTCTGAGAATCCAATACTATGTAAACTGTTAAAATTCACATGTTTTCTTGTTTTTCTCTACAGCTTTTTTAACGAACCACCGCGTCTCTTCAGCTGTGCTGATAACTCTAGGTAATCTCTTTCACATGTGTTATCTTCTCAACAACTTATCCCTTTCGATTCTCAGAACCCAGAAATCATAATTTGTATGATCTCTACTTTGCAGCTTTCTTGGACGAACAACAGACCTGTGCCCACCTACTGCAGTTTCATCTTCTTTCAGCATCTCCAGCTACTCACTTCTCTGCTGCTCTTGATAACCCACGTTCTGTATCTTTAGACTTCAAATAATCACTTTTCCAAAACTTTTAGACTGCTCTCTTGCCTTGTCTCTTTTGGAAAGTTTTAGACTCTGAAACTTGTACCTAGTTTCTTCTGAAGTTTTTCTGCAGCTACTCCACCTGAAGCAAGTTCTTTTTCTTTTCCTGTAGCTACTCCACCTGAAGCCAATATCTCTTCCCCATAGCTTCATACTTGTCGCAGGTAACCTTCTCACTCACCATAGCTTCTGAGTTTTGAGAAACCTTGTTTGATTTTTCTTTATCAAACTATCAATCACTAAATCTCTTTCATGACTACTCTTATGCTCATGAATCTGTTATAGTGATTAAATAAATCCTGTGTACCCTTGCAACTTGATTCCCTTTGATATCTTTTGATTCTTATCATGTGCACTGATCTTAGAATCAAACTTCCCTTTGAATCTTATGCAATAGACCCTGTCCTTGTCTCAGCTTCTTCAACCTGAATCACTCCTTGATTCATCCTCGAAACAATCTCAATATCCATTCTGAAACCCTTGAGATTTAAACTTGTTGCCTTATGGTTAACAACCACAATCTGAATCCATCTTGTACCGCCATCATTCATGATGGAACACGCGTCCTAACCAGTCTTGTTGGGAAGACTTTCGACACAACTTTCCATTCTGTTCTTCTTGTTTAACCATAACCTCTCTAACAGTCTTGGATCAAACTGCTAGTTTCTATTTAACTTGTCTCACGCCAACTGCTCCAGTGACGTTCTTGACACTTCTCTTTGTAACAGCTCTTCTTTGATATCACTTTCTAGACCCCATGATACCTATCCCTAGCTGAACAAAAAACACCCTGCAATACTTGTTGTTTGTATTGTTAACACACCAATGCTTTGATGCCTACATCACAACACCTTAGAACAAATCATCAGAACTCCTTCTGATCCATCAATTTGCTTCCTCACGTGAGTTTAAACTTCTTTGTCCTCAGAGAATTTTTCTAGTTCTCTTCTTGTGTTGCCAAAAGAGAACAAGTATAACTATACTTGTCTCTTATTCTCCACGCAGCTTGTTAATCTATCCATGCACTCATCCTCCTTACTTGGATGTCTTTTGATTCTAGAACACATTTCACTTCTCGTGTGTCGTTTTGCAACATACTCTTTTCTAGAATCCCCTGTATTTGGAGCCTTCCTCACGTTCTGAAAGTGATAACTTAGACCAATACACCTTTAGTCTCCACCTTAATACTATTAGACGTCACAAAACTTTGACATCGCCTCCAGCAATGCTAACATACACATGTCTTGTACCGCTGCTCATGAAAACAGGACACGCCGTCTAACTCCCTTGTTAGAAAGACTATCGACACAAAACCCATTGCATAATTCATTGCGAGATAACTTCTCAAGTACCAATCACTCAGAACATGCAGTCTCCTATGCCTTGCAAGATATCCTCTTAAATATAGTTCCTTGATGATCTTCCTTGAATCCTTGATCATCCTTGTTTGTAGACCTCTCAAGTCCTTGAGAGTCTGATCCTTTTCTAATTAGAACCGCCTTTGCCAGCAAGCTTCTTAACCATGAATCCCTTCCTTTACGGCGAAGAAGATCTTGCACGATTTTAGCCTGGCTATTACCATGGCTTCCAGTCGACTTCTTCCGACGTCTAGCAACGATCACGAAACACCACCACCTTTTGAACCATAACTTGAAGCTTTAACATCATCTCCACTTTGATCTAAAATCCCTTGAAATATAGGTAGTAACAACCTCCTCTATTTCGATAGATCAGCCTTGAACACTTCATACCGCCATTACGAAGAATGGAACACGCCGCTTAACTTTAACCTTGTTAAGAAGACTATCGATACAAAAGTTTGCTCGACTTCCTTTGAGATGAATGTTATTGCATCAACACCTTGTACTTCCCTAAGCAAAGACACGTTACCCTTGATCGTTCGATCCTAAAACTTGGAGATGATGGATCGCAGCTTTCTCGAAGAATAGATTGGTCCCATTATCTGTCTTCTTTGCGATTCTGCTCGGACTCCTTATTTGCAATCAAAACCTGGATTGCTCTGATACCACTTGTTAGGAATTCTCGATCGTTAGATTGCTTAATTCTATAACACAGAGAATTTGATCACCGAGTTCCCGGCCTCTAGCGCGGTACGTCTCGGGTGGGAACCGTCTCTCACAACATCCACTATCAATCAAAGGGTTTTACGCAAACGCTCTAAGCGCTCAATAAGAAGACACAACAAAGAATAAGAGAGATAAAAGAAACTCTATCCCGAAGCGACATGACTCGAACAATGTCTCTTGCCTCTAGTTTCTTCTTAACCCTAATCTCTCTCTAGCTCTCTTCCTTTTGGTCTTGTGTTTCGGATGATTATAAAGCCTTGGCCATCTTCTCTATTTATAATCCCAGCCACCGTCTTGATTTTTCCTTTTTCCTAGTAGCGTTAGTAATTTGATTAACCGACAGTAACGTCTTTCCTCTTTTGCGCAGGTTTCCATTATTGGGCTGTGGGCTTGGACAAGCAATTGGAATTGAGCCTATTTCCTTTCATTGATCTTTAATGTGATTGAATTCTGATACCTTTTTTTGCGAAATCATATTAAAGGCTTAGAGTAATGGTCAAGCAAAGACAGGGGGGACATAAAACTTTCTCAAAAATGAACTTTGACAGATATAGAGAAAAGGAAAGTACGAAAGAGTTGGAATATCAATATTCCAAAAAAGACTGTTGCTAAGCTGGTAAAGGAATCTTACTCAATGATGAGAGAGGATGTGTTGGGATACAATCCAAATCCCACATCGGAAGTTTAGATAGAAAGTGTCTAATATATAAGTAGTGTTCAACTCTGATTAGAATGAGGCCTTTTGGGAAGGAACCCAAAAACAAATCCGTGCGGGCTTTGCCTCTTGGGCCCAAAGTGGACAATATCATACTATGGACAGAATTGGACATAGGCTTCAGAAAAGCGCCACATTGGTATCAGAGCCTAGGTTGGAAAAAGTGGACCTAGAAAAGTGGGTTGGGCCTGCATGTTCGTTGTGGGAGGAAGTTCCTCAAAGTGACTTTGCGATTAAGGGGTACCGGAGGCTTGTGTCGAAATCTTCTTAAGGGTTAAGTGAAGAGTTCTGTTGGTGAGTACAGCGGTACAAGATGGTACCAGGTTTCGCAAGGAGGTTGAAGTCCAAGGAGTTATGTGGTCCTTGGTTTGAGGGGGAGATTGTTGGGATACAATCCAAGTCCCACATCGGAAGTTTAGACAGAAAGTGTCTAATATATAAGTAGTGTTCAACTCTGATTAGAATGAGGCCTTTTGGGAAGGAACCCAAAAACAAATCCGTGCGGGCTTTGCCTCTTGGGCCCAAAACGGACAATATCATACTATGGACAGAAATGGACATAGGCTTCAGAAAAGCGCCACAGGAAGGTAATAAAAACAGGATCAACATACTAGGCCGGAAAAGATTTCCGGTGAAGAGCAAAAAAAAAGTGATGTGCATCGAACAGTTTCACTGGAAGGGAGAAGGTTAGAAGAATATATATCGTAAAAAAGTGATGTGCATCGAACAAGTTTCACCTGGTTCCGGTTAACACTGCATGCGGCGGGGTATGTTTCCATCGGTTGCGAGTCGTGCACGAGAGCGGTTTTTCTGGGTCTACACGAGAGGGAAGGGAGATGGTGGTGGGAAGATGCTAAGGCTAAAGAGTGTGGACTTCACAAATGGAATATCAAGGAGAATGCAAACGGTAATAATGTGAATGGAGAGTCAAAACCCCTTGTTGAGGATATTCTTAAGAGTGAGAATGTTGTGGCTTTGAGCAGGCAAGGGATTGAGAATTTGGTGAAGTTGGAGAACCGTGAAGAGCCTTGGATCCTTGTGCTTTATGCTCCGTGGTGTCCCTTTTGTCAAGCTATGGAAGCGTCGTATGATGAATTGGCTGATAAACTGGCTGGAAGTGGTATTAAGGTTGCCAAATTTAGAGCTGATGGTGACCAGAAGGAGTTTGCTAAGCAAGAGTTGCAGCTCGGTAGCTTCCCAACGTTACCAGTCTTCCCTAAGAACTCTTCCAGACAGATTAAGTATCCGTCTGAGAAGAGAGATGTTGATTCTTTGACTTCTTTATGAATCTTGTCCGGTAAAGAAACCACAAAACCAGTCAACACTTCCATGATTAAAGAGAGATAAAACAAGAACAATTTCATCTCGTTCCAGATTGCAAGATCAGATGGAAGTTGGTGTCCAGAGAAAGTGCTGATTTACAGCTTCAAATCGAATAGATAGAGAGAAGCTCTGCAACGAATCTTGAGTTTCTGCAGTTTTGTAGTGTTTCAAAGCTGTAAAAGTGATGATTTTCATGTAAATGTGTGGGTTATTAGTGAAATCAAACTCATTTTCTTCTTTGCTTGCATTCCTCATATCAAATATTTTTAAATTGAGGTTTTCGGAATCAAAAGCAGAGTAAACAAAGCTAAAGTAATGGACCATATAATCAGATTATAGCGAATACCAAGATTTACCTCAAACCTGAGATATTCAAGAATCAGAACAGAATAAATTTTGTAGCGACTAGTGAAATCAAATTCTTGTCTCTTCATAATCATATCAAACATAGTAAAACAAAGCAAGCATTAGACTTTGTGGCTAATAGTGTGTAAATCAAGCTCTTGTTTCTTCACATAAATACCACACATACAGAGATATTACCTGGAAGATGAGTCTTTTTTTAAGAATCAAAACCAGAGTAAACACCACTCTCTCTCAACTGCCTCTTCTCTTCTTCAACATAATTCTTACCTCGACTCGCTTGCCCCAAATCTCTCTTCTTCTTCTCCTTCTGTGAGAACGAAAGACTCTTCCTATCACTCCTCAGCTGCGCATTCGCAATCGTCTCCCCACCTGCAACCTTAGCTCTTGTAGCTTCTCGTTCTCGAAAACTCTCTTTCACTTCCTCTGCTCTTGCTTTATCCTTCCCAGTATCCCACGACCAATCTGCTTTCTCCACAGGAGGAGGAAGATCTGGAAGACCAACGGCTTTGTAACCATGCTCTTTCAGAGATTCATAGTCAAAAGTTTTCTTCTCTTTCTTCCCAAACCTCGCTGCATATAACAACCAGACAAAGAGATCTCACAATGTTTTTATTTTTTTGATTAACCAAGCGTGTCCCAACCGACTAATCCTGATATCACAATGTTAAAACGGGATAAAACACTTTTGGGTTCTACCTATTATCTTTTTGCTCTTTCTCTTCTTCTTATTCCCAGTCTCAGTATTATCCGCGTTAGAGTCAGAAGATGATGATTCCTCAGATGAATCTTCTTCTTCTTCATCATCATCATCACCCCATCTCATCATACATTTCTTCATTGTACGAACTACTACAACTCTGACAAAGAATCAAACCTTCATCTTAGTACCAAATTAACAAACAATCTTAGTTTCTTACAAGACAAGCTCGAAAGATATATATATATGTTCACAGAGATCATCAATACATACAAAGCTCGAATCTTTGTAAATTAAATTGAACTAAAAAAAGAGGGCTTAAACGCTAAATTGAATTGGAGGTCCATGAAAGATGCGAAATCTAATAAGAGTTATAAGTCTGTACCTTGTCTGGGCAGTCGAAGTTGGAAGGTGGACGGCGAATGGTGGAGAGAGGAGCGGAAATGGTTTTAGGGACTTGGGGGAAAAGCATCTACGACCAATAGAAACTATTCTACATTTTGAAGTGGCCCAAAATGTTTAGTTTTGTTACAATTTAGTCCTAATTTGTTGTTAGATTCATAAAATTCGATCGGCTTTGGGATTGTAAGAACAATCCTATGGAAAATAAATAAGAGCTAGCTGATCATCTCACTCTAAGTTACTTACTACTCAACTATCATCACCACCTTCAACAATTATTGGATTCATACATTTGTGGGGTATATTCAATTTAGAACAGCAAAAACTCCATTAGATGAACGAATATGCACATGTGATCAGAAATCTAATATATTTGACCAAATGTACTTGACCTGATCTAGCACACACACTAAACATATTGAGTCGTTATACAAGTAATTCATGACACAAATACTAGAAAGTTATAGCGAAAGTACTTAATTACTTACAATGGTGCTAATTAAATATCAGATTCTAAAAACTCATAATCCACAAGTGGATATGTCTTTACACTAATAGGGACAACAATATCGTGGAAATCTATCAAACAAACCACCATGTTAGCCAAATCCACCATGTAATATGAGTTCATATCACTACACAAAGCTGTCCAAGAAGCTGAAGGCCTTGAAATTTTTTTGGAAGATATTCCTATATGAGATTATAGCTCGTATATGAGATTATACCACAAATGTCAATACAAGTACATCGTGGTAGTCAATCGTTTATAGCTCTCGGATTCAGAATAATCTCTAAAAAATTAAATCTCGTCACACCAGAAAATGACATAAAACCATTGGACAACTAATATCAAATGGTGTATGTTAGACCCAAATCCAGGCCAATAAGATCGACCTCTCACGAGGTCCGGTCCGCGACAAGCACGAAGAATTAATAGGCGGGCCCAATCCCGAAGTCGATGCAAACAGGCCGAAACGCCCATGTCACAGAGGATCGCTAAGGTGATCAAGAAGGAGGGATCGACTATAAAAGGAGAGAAGGACGAAGAATACATGACACACGAAAAACCCTAGAGCACACCATTACTCTCATCGATCTCGTTTCTTAGTCTCATACTTGTTTTAGTTTCGATCACACTTTGTCACTTCCGATCTCGATTACTTCTTTGTATCAAATTTCATATCAATAAAGTCCATTTTTGTCAACTGAATTCCGATTGTATCTTTGTGTTCTGAGAGCATCGTTGCCCACAATATTTGTCTTTCCTAGATATAACTTTTAATCACTACAAAATACTGAGTGTAGATTTCAGGATCTAGAGTGTAGTTACAATAGAATAATTCAAATCGGCTGACAACCAAGCAGATCTATCAACTAGAGGTTTTCCACGAGAGATTATTTCTAAATCATCAAAAGAAATATCTTAAAATCCTATGACAAATGAGGATGCTTGGTGGCAACCCTACTTATCATGATTAGAAATCGCAAGATGTAGGTTTAAATAAAAACAGAATCTACCGGGAGTAATTTGAGACTATTGTGTCTTCCCATTTCTCGAGATGATAGAGTGTTAGAAAAAAATAAAGGTAGGGGTAGATTATCTAAGTTCAGTCATAAAAAAAAAAACAGGATAAGTTCATGGCCATTCACACAATGAACATAGTAGTGAACTAAGTTCTACGTGAACAAGAAATCGTGTTATGGATGTTGTCTCGGTCTACATAAAACACAGGATGGTTCAAGACATCATTATCACCTTGTGTGTTTAGTCAGGATTAGTATAAGTAAAACTAAAGTCTATGGAGTCTGAATTCATAGTCATTTTTATTCATGTGGGGGATTATTGGAATTCTGTTTTTGAAAAAAAATGAATAAGCTGTTTTTTTTTTTGAACTTTTGTAATGGCTTTCCGACCAAACCGGTGGTCGTCGTGGCTGGATAAATATCTCGTTAGAAACTTACAACGGCCATTACAATCTAGTATATTCAAACTGACGAGAAATGATGTGATGAAATTGGTATGTTGGTGTGAACAATTCTGGGAAATTTTTGTTAACTGTTAAACTCAACAAAAGTCCAACACCGGACAGCCAACACAGTTATGTGTAGGCTTTCAGCTTCCACTCTGTTACTTGATCAGAGGACCGTAATATTATAGAAGTTCCTACGTTCGTCCTGGCCAATTTTATGACAATAAATTGTTCATGACTGTTTTTACATATGATTAATGTGGAAGATTGTTCATGACTTCATGTGAAAGAAGAAAGTTGAGTTAAGAGAAATACAATATATTTAATTGTGAAACTGTTTAAGCTTGTGAATCAATTTTTAATAAGATAATTACAATATATATTTTTCTTCTAATGTTGCTCCTAGTTTTAATAACAACAATTTTCATTATAATTATTTAAAATTAATTTTAAAATAGAATCTATACTATTAAAACTAAAGTCTAAAATAGAATTTATCCTTATTTCAACAAATATTATATTGATTGTTATTCTATTTTGAGAAATTTTTTAGAATGTTATGGAAATTTTTTGTATATGACTTAAATATCATACATCTTTTTAGAAATCACTAGAATGTTTGTAATCCCTAGTAAATTACAATTAATGTCTTTGGTAATTTTTTAAATTGAGATTATTTTTATTAACAAATCCACGTCATTAATTAATGTATCCACATCATCAATGCATCTGATCAATAGAGAAGACAATCAACTATCGCCTCTCCTTAATTAAAACTCCTCTTGTGTTAAAAACACATAACTTTATTCTTCGTTTCGAACTAACCCTAACTATCGACATTGTGTTTATCGCCTCGAACTAACTGTCTTGTCTTCTTCGATATCGTCTTCTCCAAATTTGACGTCTACAATCGTTTCTATGAAATCATCTTTCCTGCAATCGTATCTACAAAATCGTCTTCTCCGGTATGTTGTGGCTGAGCTATATATTATGTTGTGTCTGAGTTTGATTTTGTGTTCTGGCTAAATTTGATTTATGTTGTTGATGATTTTGAGTTAGGCGTTGCCCTACCTTAAGGTTTAGGGACGACATTTTGCCATCCTTGTTCTTCGTAATCTCCACAAAGAGATGTAGCTGTTCGATTTTTTTTTAGGCTTAGAAAACCTTGCAATTTTCGAGTATTGGAGACATATACTAGTGGAGTGTCGTGCGCCATTGTTTTCAAAGCTTTATTTGAGTACATATAGCTCAGCTGACTCTGATGCCTCCATTCATTCAGTTTGTAATCATCGAGTACAGACTTTGCGAGTTCGTCGTGTGTTGTCTTCTCATCTATATCCAAAAATCTACACCCACTATTGTCGTCATTTACATATTTTTTTTCTTAATCCAATTACCGTAAACAATAATTACTGGATCAATAAGATCTTAGAGAAAGATAAAGAATAAGATGAATAAGATAGATAAAGAATATAAACCCTTATTTTAATGTTGTAACGTTCGTTAGTAATGACATGGAAAATCCGAGTTGGTGACATGGCGGATGACATGGACAATCGGTTAGTCAGCTGTCAAACGAATACATAACTCAACCTAAGTAAATCAGATCTCATGTAGAATCAGCCAAATCATGAATACTATTTCAGAAATTAAAATTTTGTTAAAAAATCAGCCGTAATTAGGATGAAAATAATAATTCAGTCGTATCATCAAATAAATTAGCTGTCAAATGAATGATATTTTAGTAATTAATCTTCGGTTAATAAGTCAGTCTTAAAGAAGCCGAGTTTACTGTTAATTCATCCAATTAAGACTGATTAAATATAACTCAGTTGTAACAACCTCTCATAGCCGTAAATTTAATAACTCAACCAGACGATGTTCATTAACTCAGCTGGCAAAAATAACTTAGCCGTGTTTTAACTACAACTTAGCCGTAACTTGTATACATAAGTCAGCCGTTAAACCATAATTCAGCCAGATTTGTGTAAATCAGCAATCACTAACGGCTTACTTATGTTCTTAAGTAAGCCAATTTCTCTTAAGTTAGATGTGTTGTTTAATTCAGTTGCAACATAAAAATAACCCAGTCATAGCGATGTTTGTAGCGTTTTACGGCTGACTTAATGAAAAAATGGCAACGAATTTTTATGTCGCGCCGGGTTTTTTGTTTACGTGACATTCAAAAATAATGTCATTTTTAAATACATTTTCTCATAACATAACAAAATGACACGCTTGGTATTAAAAATGACAGTAATAATAAAAAAGTTTTTGTATGGTTCTCATTAATTGTCCTAAAATGTGTACTTTTTGAGTAAACTTTCCCTTCCATTTTCACATAATTTAATAACTTCATTAATTATATTACTATAACAATACATCCATCATTAATTATATTATCAAAATAATAGTGTAAATTTTTATTTATTAGTTAACCAACTTATCTTTGTGTAAATTGTAAAAAGCAAAAATGTAAAATTACCAGTTTTTACATCATGGTTAAAAGTTCAGTTTAATATGTTTTATTAAGATTTTTGTTTTATCTTAGTTTCAATCAGTGAGAAATTACGAAGCCAAACACACAATTCAAAGACATAATTTATATGATAAAATAAAAACTTAAATAAAAATAATAAAAATGTATTAAATTTATTGTAACATAGTTTTTCACACCATATAGCTACTTTAATATGAGTTTTACGCACCATGCTCAAAAATAATAATATTTAAAATAATATAATTTTGATCATAAAATAAATTTTAGTTTATATCTATATTATTAAAATTAAAATACCTTTTTAAAATAATCATTCATTCATCATAATAAGTACAACTTATACCACTGTTAATTGATTAACTATAACTCATTTATTCTGTTAAATAGTTCTCTAACAAAACTTATTATTATTCTATGGCCATAATATTCTCTAATCAATGTTTTAAAAAAATCAAATAAATGTATTTAAAATTTAAAATATGTACTTTAAATATTATATCATGTATATTATTATTTCATTTCATATCAGAATATAAACTAATTTTTTTTCTGAAAACATATAAAGTTATTTTCATATATAT